ATGACACTGAGTGCGAGCTATTTTGCTATTTTGTGTATATTTTTAGCACAGTCAATGGTCTATCTATGTTTGCATATTGAGAACATTGTCTAATGTAACATGTTATGTTCATGTTGACCTATTATATTAATATAATGTGCAATCACCTAATATTGGGTTGAGTGTCTGTATGTGATCATATTCATTCTTTGTCATATTTATCTCACGATTATTCTATTTGTCAATTAGAATTACAAAATTATCATGCGTGTGGCGCGCAGATTGCTGTTTAGACATCTCGCAACTATTTTTGGGACATACCGTTGGTCAATCTGTTACTTCAATGCTGCAGTACCACTGTTCTTCGTTAATGCTGTTCTACTGCACGGATGCAAGCACGGCCAGTGGCCCGCGCGCATGGGCGCGCGCGAAGGACTAGTGCTTCTATTAAGGCCCTGTTTGGTTGAGCTGTGGCTGTGGGAGAAAGCTGTTGTGGGCTGTAAGCTGTGAAAAAGCTGCTGTGGGTTGTGAGCTGTAGAAAAGCTGAAAGGTATTTGGTTAAACAAGTATAAAATATACCTTTTATCTTTATCTCTCTTGAAACAACTATGGAAGAACTTTTTATTCCACCAATTTCGAAAAGCAGAAAGTCAAAAGCCAAAAACAGGGTCAAACCAGCTTTTAAAAATGAACTACGGAAAAATAGCTGCTTCTGAAAAAACACCCTTCAAAAACAGCATCTTTGGTTGAGCTTTTGGCTTTTGAGGCCAAAAACCAAAGCCAAAAGCCCAACCAAACATGGCCTAAGGTTGTTTGGATTCCAGTTTTAGCGAACGGGTGGTGCCGTGGTGGCGCCCTCGCCCCATGGCGCGGCGCGTGGGCTCATTTGGGTTTGGTCCGTTTGGAGGGTGAGGCAGCGGCCCATTTACAGCCTTCTTCCTCGCTGGGCGGGTCCAAGGCCCCCGTGCCGAAGTGCGGTTGCAGTTTCCTCAATTTAAAAAAAAAAGAAAAAGAAAACACACACACAAATGCGGTTGCAGTGAAGAGACGGCAGTTTAGTGATCATCTCATCATGTGCCGTCCCGTTATAAACTGTAAGTAAGCAACGATAGATATATTCGACGAAGGTACCTGCACTGCACCGACACATCTGTTCGCTTGATTGTTTGTATGGCTTATAAGCCGGTTGATACTATTTTGTTGTGAGAGAAAAATACTGTATCATAGTTGATAAGTATGGCTGATACGATTATGGAACATGGTGAGATTCTGTAATGATCATAAATAGTTTAATTGAGGAACAAGGAGAGAGAACGCGTGCGTACGTACTCAATCCATCCCAAATTGTAAGACGTTTAACTTTTTTGACACTAAGTTTGACCACTAGTCTTATTTAAATTTTTGTGTAAAATATCACTTCTTTCGTCGTGGTTTGGTTTATTAATAAAAAAATTTCAAGAATGATTTAAATTTGACTATATTTACATAATTTTTTTTGAATAAGACGAGTGGTCAAATTTGAGGCCAAAAATGTCAAACGTCTTACAATTTGGAATGGAGGGAGTACGTAATAATAAGTTGTGCTACAACTCAGAATGCAACGTTGTTGGAAGGCCACAAGCTAAAAATGTGATTGATTATTATTGTTGTACCTGGACAACATGCATGTTGAGTGATACAGTATATCAGAAAGTAGCTAGCATCATGTCCAGTTAATTGAGATGGGTAACCTGGGGCCTGTTCGGCAGGACTGAAAAATACTGTTTTGGCTGATTGTTGGAGAGAGAAAAATACTGTTCTGGCAGGACATAAACAGTGATTTCGTGAGAGAAAAAACAAGCCAGCCGGCCGGCTTAAAGCCAGCCGAACAAGCCCTTGTGGTATGAAGGAGAGGCTGCCCCTGCCCTGTCATCACCATCATTATATATATATATATATACTCTTTTCGTTTTAAATTATAAGTTGCTTTGATTTTTTTTTAGTTCATCTATTTTGCTATACATCTAGTATAGTAAAATAGATAAACCAAAAAAATTAAAACGACTTATAATTTAAAACGGAATGAGTATATTATTGCGGTGGTACGTAGGACCATGTGTGTTTAGCCTATAGGCTGGCATCGACTTGGCGTGCATTCTAATTCGAGATATATATGTCCAAACTGCGTGTCCTAATTGACAGGCAAAATTATATATATTTCTGTTTTTTTTTGGCAAAGTCTGTTTGTTTGTTACGACGTTCCTTGGCAAAGTCACAATCCTTTTTCACGTACAGTTTTCCAGTCTGTTTGTTTGTTATTATTATTATTTTGTCCTGGCAAAACTCCAGTTTGTTTATTGACGATGTTGGAATTGTCGTCATTTTTGTCCTATATATTCGCAATACACTACAAATGATTTTGTTGACTACTATGATGACTTAATTAAGAGCTAGCCTTATGACAAGTATATTAGCGTTGTCTCGTCGGTGGTCTTATACAGTGCCACATAATTTTAATACAACTTAACTTAATTGATAGCATATAATGATTGCCTTTTAAGTTGTCTCATAATAACTCATAATGTTTCCTAGTTTATATATAGAATAAAAACAAAGTTGTGAGTTACATGACAACAATAACTTATACAAATGGTATATTAGTTTGTCTCATAGTCCTAGATTTCAGCTCATAAGATGGTTGTTCCATGAAACAACAATCTCTTCTCTCTTTTCTCTCTTTTTCCTTCACATTATTAAAAAATCCTAAATGACATTGTATAAGACGGAGTATGGCCTGTTCGCTTCTTTTATAATTCGTCTTTTTCAGCTTGTTTTTTCAGCCGAAACAGTGTTTTCTCTCAGAATAAATCAGACGAAACAGTATTTTAGCCTTTTTTTTCAGCGAAGCGAACGGGGCCTATGAAATCGTTGGCATCTAGCAATGTACTTGCCTTTGCTGCCAGCTATAATAAGGGCCTGTTTAGTTCCAAAAAATTTTCATCTCAAACTATCAAATCGAATCTTGCGGCACATGCATGGAGTATTAAATATAGACGAAAAAAACTAATTGCACAGTTTGGTTGGAAATCGCGAGACGAATGTTTTAAGACTAATTAGTCCATGAGTAGCCATAAGTGCTACAGTAACTAACATGCGCTAATGATGAATTAATTAGGCTTAATAAATTCGTCTCGTAATTTCTAGACGAGCTATGTAATTAGTTTTTTTTATTAGTATCAAAAACCTCTTCCAACATCCCCGAAACATCCGATGTGACATCCAAATATTTTCATTTCGCGAACTAAACACACCCTAAGTATCGGAACAAAAGTACACAGACCCAGCAAATTCTGATGTCCTGTGTACTACAGATGATACCCTCAAGTCACAGAGGCTATTCCGTTTCAACTTAAACAAGACATATAGTAGGCCACAAGAATGCTGGTATTAATTTCTTAAAGTTGGAAAAAAAATCTGATCTGATTCAAATCTAGCATTGCAATCTTTTTCTATTTTGGACAGAGAGATCAGCGTGGTACATGTGATGGGCAAGCACTTCCGTTTGTGTCACTCACTTTTACGTGAGAGCGAAATGCCGAAATCATGGCGAATCTCAATCAGCCGAGAAGTCGGTCAGTTTTCAGTTGAATGAATTGCAGGAGAAGAATATTTCGTTTCAAAAAAAAAATTGCAGGAGACGAATATAAACCAAACAGAAGCAGGGTCCCACCGCAGAGATCTGGGAGCTGTGTGTGGACCCGTTGCGTGAGGCAAAAATAAATATGAGTATGTGTAACGGACAACTATGTATTTTATATAATTTTAACATATATATTTTTTACCATAAGATTAAGATCCAACAGCCTTTACCTTCTTCTACCTCTACCTTTCTTTCACCTTTAGACAATTACAAGATCATAAATCCACATATTATCATAAAAAAACAATTTATTTTTATAAAAAGACAAATTACAGCCTCCACCGTCCGTCATGGATCATCACGTCGTGTTCCCCTGGCCGGACGCGATTCTCCATGCGGACTGCTGGTGCTGCGCACTGCTTGACAGTGAGCCAGTCCAGGCGTAGAAAGCGCACGGTGCTGCGCTGCCACGTACGCTCGCCGTGTGTTCTCTGTACTAAAAATTTCATGTGTTTTTTTTCGTTAAAACACACGTATGAATAAATAAATACCGAAAAGCTCTAGAAGAGCAAACGCCACTTCCCTCACATCTCACACCACACCGCAGCGCTCCCCTCCGACACGGGACGGCAGGCACCACCCCTCCCCACCCGCCGGCTCGGAGCGGGCGCCCGTCCACCCGAATCACACAGATCGGGACGCCGGAGGAGGAGCAGCGCCGTTCCGCATCGCCGGAGCAACAACCGCGGGCGCGGAGAGGCCCGCCCGCCAGCAAGCGCAGGCGCAGGTAACCGCAACCCCTCTCCTCGTCCCCTCCCCTCCGCGGCGCCGGCGGTGACACGCGGGGCTCGCCTGCTCGCCTTACGCACCGCTGGCGGCAGGCAGTACGGCGCCCGGCGGCTGCCTGCTCGCCTCGCCGCCCAGACGCAGCGCGTGTGTGCGTGGTTGTCGCGAGTCGTTTCCTTCTGGGGGGTCTCAGTCAGATCCCGTGGCCTCTGCTCTGCGATGCCTCAGTAGGAGGTAAGTGCCCGTTTCAATCTTAGACGAGTGCGGATTCGGCCAGCGTAGTCGAAATTGGTCGTTTTACTCCGCCCCTCCTAGATTTTGGTACTGGATCCTCCACTTGGATGGAGGGGGCGTGGGAAATCCATCCTTGTAGTTACCTGACGGACCTTTGCCGAAAATCTCACACCCACTGCTCAAAACCTGTGATGACAGTACTGCTCCCTAATCTGATGTTTATGCTTGCTTTGCTGGGTGGACTTGGCTGGTTACATCTCACTTCACTTATGATTTATCACCTCGCTATCTGCAGTTCAAGCTTGGATCCCTGGATCCCATACCATCGGTCTCTCGGAGAGTGTAATCCAGCGAGCGTTGAGTTGAAGCCGTGCAAGTGGAGATGAGCACTCTGAAGAAATCCGACAAGAAAGCTGCCCTCGACTTCGCAGCGTGGAGTTTCAATGTCACCACATCGGTTGGAATCATCATGGTCAACAAGGCGCTGATGGCTACGTATGGGTTCAGTTTTGGTATGCCTGTGCTCTGCTTGTCCAGGGATTTATTTATCATACTTCTGGCTTTCACCTTCGGTCTCTAGTTCGTGTGTTTCTGGCTACTGAGTGATATTATGTTGTGCTGTATTCTGTTATTATGCGATTGCCAGATTCCCGACTGAGTGTATTAGGCATATCTGCATCAATCAGTATTATACTGATGGATTTTTGCTGAGCATTGTGATGGTTGATCTTATTTAATTGTGGAATCCACATCATGCATTTTTCTTATATACAGTACATTTGGAGAACTGACAGACATCGTATGGATTCTAAGTGGTTTTAATGGTGTTCTAATGCAATTTTCCTACCAAAAATTGCTTAAACAGTACATTTGACTATCACCTTTGGTCTCTAGTTCTTGTGTTTCTGGCTACTGAGTGCTATTATGTCGTGCTGTATTCTGTTGTTATGTGATTGCCAGATTCCGGACTGTTGTAGGCATAATTTCATCAGTATTATCATGGTGGATTTTTGCTGAGCGTGGTGATGGTTGGTCTATTTAATTTTGGAAGCCACATGCATTTTTCTTATGCAGTGTACATTTGGAGAACTGACAGAGACATCTTATGGATTTTAAGTGGTTTTAATGTTGCTAACGCAAATTTCCTACCAAAATTTGTTTAAATAAATGAAAGGGGTTCGTACTTCGATTTGAAATGATGTATGCTCTTCTGTGAACAAAATTTTTATTGCAAATACAAAGTAATAACCAGATTTGCTTTGTTAATGCCGAAGAATAATTGTGGAGTTATAAATTGCTCTTGCTATTTGAGGTTTCTGCAGAAACTAAAACCTACCTGGCTACCCTCTTGTACACTTCCTTGGCAAAACTGGTAGTGTATCTGCTAATTGAACCTTCATGGCATTAGTGGAAGCAATTGAAATATGCGCATATGTAATTTCTTACTGTATGTTAGGTGGTTGCAGATTCTATCATATTTCTGCACATTCTCAACAATCTGTGCATGGATGAGAACATGGATATATCTCCTGTCATGTTATTAATTACCTTTTCGTTTTTTTTCAGCCACAACATTAACTGGGCTTCATTTTGTGACTACTACCTTGATGACTATCGTATTTCGATGGTTTGGCCTGAGCCAGCCGTCCCACTTACCCCTAGCAGATCTAGTTAAATTTGTGATATTTTCGAACTTGTCAATTGTTGGGATGAATGTGAGCTTGATGTGGAACTCTGTGGGCTTTTATCAGGTTGGTGAAATTTTTAGTAGCTACTATACTATGCAACCTTAAATTGTTAACAACTAAATTCATTCTATTCCCTTGCTTAGATAGCAAAGTTGTGCATGATACCTGCATCATGTCTTCTGGAGGTTGTCTTTGATCATGTACATTATTCCCGGGACACAAAGCTGAGCATAATGGTCGTGTGCTTATAGGAGTTGCAGTCTGCACGGTTACTGATGTCAGTGTGAATGCAAGAGGTCTAATTGCGGCTGTCATAGCTGTTTGGAGCACAGCTTTGCAACAATACGTAAGTTTTAGCACCTTTGTATGCAGATTTCTCATACATCACCCAACCTCTAAGATTGCTTACTACCCCCTTCTGTTTGCAATTAGCTGCAAGTCTGTTGCCGCACACTTTGAGCCTTTTCAAAGGACAATATGGCACTGTAGTGACAATGATACTTGTTTATTCTGCAAAATTATCAATAACTAGCAGTTGTCAAATTATTCATTGGTGTTCCTGCTGCTTTAGGATATAGCTCCTTTTTTTCTAGAGATTATGAATTGCCACTCACCATGGCCATACTTGGTATTTTCCATATTTGGACTGTCAGACTTAATAAATGTGCTCATGAATCATGATGCCACTGATATATTGTTCTTTACACAAGTTATAACTCCATTTCCCAAATGTTGAACATGTGATATCATTTGATTCCACAACTTTGGCTTTTTACTACTATTCTATTGCTCTTGGTACCCCACATTTTCAGAAATCGTTCTATTTGGACTTTGGCCTTGTCCTGTACCCAATAAACGGGATACAGTTTAGACTCATTCTTATTTCTGCTCCTTCTGCAGTACGTCCATTTTCTCCAACGCAAGTACTCTCTGAACTCATTCAACCTCCTGGGCCACACTGCTCCAGCCCAAGCTGGGTCACTCCTGCTAGTGGGACCATTTGTAGATTACTTGTTGACAGGCAAAAGGGTGGATCACTTCAGTTTCTCATCGCTTGCTCTGGTAAGGACAGTCTATAACAATGTTTCTATCTCTGTGATCATGACAGTTTATGCTTCTGGTTCTGTATATGATTTGTATATCTGTTTGCTTATTAGAGAAAAAATGGTGATTAGCTGGCATTTTATCTGGTCGAGAATTACGCAATACTGTGATGGTTTATAAGATCATCACACAGTCTCGTGAATGTTATGCAAAAAACATCCACAATTTTTCATTGATTTCGTTTGTTCTTGTTGCTGAAATTCCTCCATTTTACTTATTGACCTGTTAGCAATAACTTAGCAACCATAACTTAGTAACTCATAGTGTCCTTACCATATCATGTCCCTGATTCTGCAGTTTTTCCTGGCACTCTCATGCTTCATCGCCATTGGTGTTAATCTGAGCCAATTCATCTGCATTGGGCGGTTCTCTGCTGTATCCTTCCAAGTCCTAGGCCACATGAAGACCGTACTTGTTCTGTCCCTTGGGTTCCTTTTCTTTGGCAAGGAGGGCCTGAATCTTCAGGTAGTCCTTGGGATGGTTCTGGCTGTTCTTGGAATGATATGGTACGGAAATGCATCTGCTAAACCAGGCGGCAAAGAGCGGCGCAGCATCCTGCCAGTGAGGTCTGCAAGTCTCAAGGGAAGTTCAGAAGAAAAGGCGGGTACCGAGAAATAGTCTTGCTATATCTGACTGCGACTTAGATGGGGAATTTTTCGTTCCGAGGTTAAATTTCTGGTGAGGTGACGCAAGTATCACAGATTGGGAACTCTGCCTTGTGTTTGATGCAGGAGACAAACTCGTCCCATCTAGAAACTCAGGATTGTTATAGTTACAGGTATACTGTAAAGCTTCAATTTTTTTGGGCGCTCTGAATCATTTGCAGTGAGGAGAAATACAACATGGTTTACGAGGCTTCAAGACAGTTTTTATCGAATATATAGTGCAGTTGTTTGAGGAACATACCCTTCTGTATTTCGTGGGGATGTACTGTAGGAAGTTTTGAATTGCAGTAAGAGATTAATCAAACTGAAAGACTGGATCTGCTGAACTGAATATAATTTAAATCTTAGAACATGCTGTTTTTCTTCTGAATGTTTCGAAAATTTGTGTTTTCGGAGCTGGGAAGGTCAGGGTTGGTGCCGCTCGCTACATGGTCTTGGATCGACCTGGATTCGTGTTGTCATGGGCTGCTTGGAATTTGCAGGATGCGAGCACAGCATTTTTGGGTGTTTCATTCAACTGACTAATGTGTGCAACTATGGCTTCCTGTACCACTAAGTTTGGAACAATGTATACTTAATTTACCCTTTTAATGTTGTTATGAACTTGACGTAAGTTGTGATGTTCCTTTGTGCCGTGATCCGATCCTGGATGAAGGTCGGATATGTAGTACACTATATAGGTAGTGTACTGGGATGACCGATTTAGTTGGTTATCTAGCTAATTATAGTCAATGGAAGACTATTTATAGTTAGTTAAACGATGGGAGGCGATCCTCACACCATTACTACTCAATCATATTTTCCCAGAATTTTCATAATAGACCATAGTGAGGTCCAAGCCTACTATATTATTCCTCATCCACAAAGCAAACTTGCGCAGATGTACAAGAAGTAACAACATGTACAAGCTTGACAAAAATCCGGGCAAAGTATATATAGTTGAGGATTTCATAGAATTGATGATTGCCATATATCATTAGCTTAGCATCATGGAACATATACAATTTCCTTATTTTCTAAAAATAAAAATAGGTGTGCAACGCCAGGCTGCTCGGAGAGCTAACAGTCTGTGGAGAACGTCCTTACAGAGCCGGCGAGGGTTCATGTCTTGGCACCCGCATATTATGATGAAGCAGGGGGCCATCGATCTGTCCGGGTGATCTCTTCATCTTTTTAAATAAGGAAAGTAGATCGAACCAATAACTGATGGTGATGAAGCTAGACCATATCAAGTAGCTCAGACTTGAAACTATGACCCAGCCGAATTCTCAATTTCAAGATGGGCCATTCACCAAGAAGCTTAGTAAGAATGGGCAATAAAGATGTTAGAACGCAGACCACAATAGCGAGCCAGAGGAGACGAGGAGCTACAACAGTGAATAAACCGGTTGCAAAGGCTGTGGTGGTTGCAATGTAGGCAAACCACATTAGCTTCTTTGTAAAAGACCTGTAGTAAAGCAAGAACTCAAGATCCTCCCACTTTGCAATGACACATATGAAGGCAACAGCAAGTGAGGAGCACATTGCCAAGGCGTCTGAGATCAAGAATGCCTTAAATGCGAACTTCCTTGACATGATGGGAAGCCCCTCGTTTCCAGAATCAGTGCTATATCCTCCAGGCAATGTGAAAGCAGCAGCAAAGGTTATTGTGGCGATGAGGATCGCCACTAGGGAAGTGTTTTGTGTGTATGTTTGAGTCAGCGACTTGATATCCTTCCTTGATAAGTCGGTCACTTTATCTTTGACTTCCTTTTGGAGATTAAAACCAGAAAGAGCTGTTGAAATTTCGTAGGACTCAATCGAGTCAAGTTCATCAGATCGGGTATACAGTAATAGGAATATATGTACACAGTGAAGTAGGGGTACATGTTCTTGAATCCCAGTAATCAAAGATCCTAATACATGATCTACAAAGAGGCAGAGAGAAGGGGAGTGAGAGGTTGCAGACCATCGAAGGCCGTAGTGGTCGAAGCCGTCGGAGTGGTGGAAGCGCCGGTCGGGATCTCGTTCACTGATGCCATCTGCGCGTCGGCAGCGACGTTCGGTGGAGAGAGGAGTCGGTACAGTGACGTCCTTGGCGGCGGCGTATGCGTCGGGGTGGCGTTGCCGGCGTCAGTGGTGCTTCCCGTCGCTGGCAGCGCCCCTTCTCAACATCGGGTTAGGGTTAGGATGTCGGTGGGGTGTCTGGCGGCGCGGTGAACCTCGTACCACAAGCCCCGGCCCCCACCTTTTCTTTATAGCGCTGTGCGACGGGGGCCCACCAACCATGTAGGGTTGGGCGCCCCCGATCAGGACGCGAGAACAAGGCCCAAAGGCCGTTGGGCCTAATGGCGTGGGAGATCAATCCAACATTCTCCCCCTTGATCTCTCATCACTTTTTTCGTTCTTTAATTCTTACTCAAAACTTTCGATTCATATTTTTCTTGCTTCCATCCTATTTCATCACAGATTAGTGCATAGAACTGTCCCATCGTCACATCAATTAGTGCCATTAGATTAACAGCCACAATACACTTCTCCGTTTTGAAATGTAAACTTTCTTTGGGCCCTTCGTATGTTCGGGAATCATAGGCTTTTCCCTTAAACCCATGCCGGCTACGTGTTCTCTGAACACGTTGGGTGGTAAGTCCTTTGTGAGCGGATCCGTGAGCATTTTCTCTGTACTTATATGCTCAAGATTTATTATATGATCCCGAACTTTATCTTTCACAATATAGTACTTTATGTCAATGTGTTTGACAGCACCACTTGACCTATTGTTATGAGCATACTGTACCGCTGGGTTGTTATCACAATACAACCTCAGTGGTTCATTTATATTATCAATCACTTTCAATCCAGGTATGAATTTTTTCAGCCAATTCACCTGCCCCGTTGCCTCATAGCATGCTACAAACTCGGCATACATTGTCGAGGATGAAGTTACGGTTTGTTTGGAGCTTTTCCATGATATAGCCCCTCCTGCGAGAGTAAATACATATCCTGACGTGTATTTTCTTTCATCTCCCGCATAATCAAAATCTAAATACCCCTCTATCTGCAGGGTATCAGATCTTCAATACGTAAGCATGAGGCCTTTCGTACCCTGCAAATAACGCGGGACTTTCTTCACTAATTTCCAATGTTCAATTCCTGAATTCTTTTGATATCTGCCAAGTAACCCGGTAATAAAAGCTAAGTCAGGGCGTGTACACACTTGAGCATATTATAAACTTCCAACAGCTGAAGCATACGGTACCGCTTCCATTCGGTCAATTTCATATTGGTTATTGGGACACTGATGTTCCCCAAATCTATCGCCCTTGACTGTAGGAGCAGGTGAAGGACTGCACGCATGCATACTAAATTTCTTTAGGACCTTTTCTATGTATGCCTTTTGCGATAATCCTAGAACCCCTTTTCTCCTGTCTCGGTGAATCTCTACTCCCAAAACGAATGAGGCCTCACCGAGATCTTTCATATCAAAGTTTGAGGACAAGAATTTCTTCGTTTCCATTAATAGATTGATATCACTACTAGCAAGTAAGATATCATCCACATATAAAATTAGGAATATATACTTTTCATTCTTGAACTTTGCATAAACGCAATTATCCTCAACATTTTCTTTAAACCCAAAACCTTTTATCGTTCTATCAAACTTCAAATACCACTGTCTTGAAGCTTGCTTTAATCCATAGATTGATTTCTTCAGGCGGCATCCCATATTTTCCTTTCCTTTTACGACAAAACCTTTTCGGTTGTGCCATATAAACATTTTCTTCCAAATCCCCGTTTAGGAAAGCCGTCTTTACATCCATTTGATGTAACTCCAAATCATAGTGGGCTACAAGTGTCATTATAATTCTGAAGGAATCTTTACATGAGACTGAAGAAAACGTCTCATTGTAATCAATCCCTTCTCTTTGCGTGAAGCCTTTCGCCACAAGTCGCGCTTTAAATCTTTCTATATTCCCTTGGGAGTCATATTTCGTTTTGTAGACCCATTTACAGCCTACTGTTTTGGCTCCTTTAGGAATATTTTCTAACTCCCAAACTTTATTGGTACTCATTGATTTCAATTCATCTTCCATGGCCTTAAGCCACTTTGATGAGTGGTCGCTTCTCATGGCTTCTTCAAATGAGATGGGATCACCCCCCATCTGAAATTCTTCTGTTTCATAAACTTTATAGTCATCAGTAATAGCTGATCTTCTTATTCTTTGAGACCTTCTAGGTGCCTCTGGCACTTGTTCCACATTGGGCTGTTGTTGTTCTTCCTCATGTGCAACATTTGGTTCTATAGGTTCCTCAAGGATAGGTTCCTCAAGGACAGGTTCCTCATGTTCATTCATTGTCGCCACGGGAGAACTTGCAATAGGTGTTGGCACTACAGTGTCCTGCACTGTCGGTGCAACAGCAGCAGGTAGCGTGAAGAATGGTTCTTCAACCATCGGAGTGGGTACATGTACCCACTTTTCCTGTAGGCTGATTTCTCGTACTACCATGCTCCCCCTGATCATGTTATCCTCCAAGAACACAACATGTCTTGTTTCTATAATCTTCGTATGTCTGTTAGGACAATAGAAGCGATATCCTTTCGATCTTTCTGGATAGCCAATAAAATGGCAGCTGACTGTCTTGGAGTCTAACTTTCTTATGTTCGGGTTGAAAACTTTTGCCTCGGCTGGACAGCCCCACACACGCAAATGGTTGAGTGAGGGTTCCCTTCCCGTCCACAATTCATATGGTGTTTTAGGCACCGACTTGCTTGGTACACGATTAAGTATATGAATGGCAGTTTTTAGCGCCTCCATCCATAAACTAATCGGTAATGTGGAGTAACTTATCATGCTTCTTACCATATCCATTAAGGTACGATTACGTCTTTCAGCCACTCCATTCTGTTGAGGCTCCCCCGGTGTGGAGTACTGAGCAACTATGCCATTTTCCTGTAGGAACTTTGCAAACGGTCCAGGAATTTGGCCATATGGGGTATGTCGCCCATAGTACTCTTCACCTCGGTCTGATCATACTATCTTGATTTTCTTATTGTGCTGATTTTTAACTTCAGCTTTAAATATTTTGAATTTATCCAATGCTTCCGATCTTTCTTTAATTGGATAAATATTGCCATAACGAGAGTAGTCGTCTGTGAATGTTATAAACGAATCATAACCATCCACACTTTTTACAGGAAAAGGACCACATATGTCTGTGTGGATTATTTCTAAAATTCCTATGCTTTGTTTGGCATCTTTCTTAATTTTCTTGACATACTTTCCTTTAATACAATCAACACATTGTTCTAAATCTGAAAATTCTAAGTGCGGGAGAATTGATTCCTTAACCAATCGTTCTATTCTCCCCCTCGAAATATGGCCCAAGAGACAATGCCATAATTTCGAAGAGACATAATCAATTCTCTTCCGCTTCTTAGTTACATTCGTAGATGAGGAATCATTCACATTCTCATCGCATACATTGTTCACATTCTCAGCAAGAGATAATAAATAAAGTTTGTCTTGTCGGAAGGCAAGACCAACACATTTATTATCAACCAGTATCTTACACTTGCCATCACCAAAGTAGCAATCAATTCCATCATCATCAAGTTTCAAAACGCTTATCAAATTTCTACGCAAAGAGGGAACATAAAGTACTTCTTTAAGTCTAAGTACAAAACCATTATTCAATTCTAAAGAAAAAACTCCAATGGCTTCAACATTGGCTTGCACTCCATTTGTAACTTTAATCGTTCTTTCTCCTCTTTGTAAGGTTCTCGTCCCACTTAACCCCTGTAAGGAATTTGCAACATGAGTAGTTGCTCCTGAATCAACCCACCAAGTGGATTTATCATAACATAAATACAGGGATTTATCTACAAATGTAATAAATTCATCACCTTTCTTTAGCAGAGATTTCAGGAAGTCTGGACAATCTCTCTTGTAGTGTCCCTTCTTGAAGTAGTGCTTGCACTGATCTTTTTCAGCTCCACCATACTGCTGATTCTCAGAATCCTAGGGTTTCTTTCCCTATGAATTGGAGGAAGAGGCCTTATCCCACTTGGGTTTCCCTTGTGGTTTAGAATTCTTGCCATTAAAATTCTTGAGGCCTTATCCCACTTGGGTTTCCCTTGTGGTTTAGAATTCTTGCCATTAAAATTCTTTCTTTTGTTATCCTTCACAAAATGAGCAGATTCACCTTGTGAGGACTTTATCCTCTTCTCTTCTTGAGCATACATTGAGATGAGTCTTTCTATGCCCCATCTTTCAGGCTGTATATTGTAATTCACAATGAAGGTGTCATATTCTTTTGGCAAAGAAGCAAAAATCAAATGAATCAGGAAATCCTCCTCCTTCAAATTCATTTCCTTTAGCTTAGATGTCGTAGTGTTCATCTTCAAAATGTGCTCTCTTATGCTACCACCAGTGAATTTCTCATTCACAAGCTTTTTAATCAGTGAACTTGCTGTGGCCTTGGTAGACCCAGTAAACTGACTCTTGATTTTCTCAAGATATTACGTAGCGTTAGCACATTGTGGATTGAGCCCTTATCTGTTCCTCTATGGTGGCCTTGGCCACCAACAGCACTTTCTGTGGGGAGAGAGCCCATTGCCTATGTTCAAGGTCATATTTCATTCTTATTTCAGCATAATCACGCTTTCGAGCAGCGAAATCAGCGTCAGATTCATTTTCACCTCTCACTGGGTCCTCTGGCTCAGTAGGACACAGTGAGGTGATGGCAAAATCGACCTCTCCCAACGCAAGTTCCAATTCATACTTCTCCCGCCACATACGGTGATTGGTCCCATTGAGTGTCGGGATGTTGGCAATGTTCACAATGCATTTGCCTCCTGAAACCACACCAGAGTAAGTAAGAAACATTTATACATAAAATTTCATGCTTTAACTCAACGTTGGTCAAATTAAAACTTATAATTCATCCATGCAAATATTTTACATCACCGTTGGGCAGAAGTAAAATTAATGCACAATTTCTCATGGATCAAAATTATAATATTGTTATTAACAACGTTGGTCAGAAAATAACAACATCATAATCTCATCAAAATTATCAGAAATTCATCACTTCTCTTAAAATTAAATTATCCCGTTGGTTTAAATTTAATCAAAGGAGATCGAAAATTATCATGCACAGCGGAAACATTAATAATCTTTTATATTATTATTTTTCAGAAGCACTGAGTACTTTACTGTTTTCTGGCAAAATATCGTTGGATAATATTTGCACAGGAAAAATTGTATAAAAATCATTCAAATTCATCAAAAAATATGCATTAAAATTGCTCCTGGAAAATAATAACAAAATTTTTTTTTTCACTTCAGCCCAACATAGCCTAGCTTCATTCACTTACTGGCGTTCGCCAAAGAAGTATACACAGTCAGCCCCTAAGATGGCCTAACGTGGCCCAAAGAAGACACGCTTAGGGTTTCGCCAGGTAGCACGCGATTCTGAGCCGTTCATCATATCCGACGGCTGTCCGGTGATTTCGCCAGATCAAAACTGGCAGCTGACCTCCGCCCCCCGAAAAACCCTAAAGTTCATTTCCTTTCTTCTTCCCCCCGCCTCTCCCAGCCGATTCCAGAGTGAGGGAGCAGCAGCGGTGGAGCCATGGCGTCCACGGTGGCCGGAGGAAATCGGGGCCGCCGTGGGCCCCTTCTCCAGCCGGGCGTGCTTTCGCCCGTGGTCGAGCAACGTCGCGCCGTCGAGTGGCCTCGTGGTGGTGCCCTGCACCTGCGCGCCACGAGGGTGGCCTCGGCTTCATCCCGCACGCCGGTGCGGGTACGGGGAAGTATCGCACGGCGGCGGTCTCTTCCTCTCTTTGATTTCTCTAGGGTTAGGGTTTCTTTGACCGATTTGAAATTGGTTCGATTTGATTTCTTTCTTTCGCCCGATTTGAAATCGAGTGTCTTTGTTCTTCTTTCTATTTTCTTTTTCCCGATCTGCATCAGATCGGTCAGTTTCATTTCATTTCTTACCCCGATCTGGTTTCTTCTCTAACCGTGGCTCCGATACCATTGTTGAAATTTCGTAGGACTCAATCGAGTTAAGTTCATCAGATCGGGTACACAGTAATAGGAATACATGTACACAGTGAAGTAGGGGTACATGTTCTTGAATCCCAGTAATCAAAGATCCTAATACACGATTTACAAAGAGGCAGAGAGAAGGGGAGTGAGAGGTTGCAGACCATCGAAGGCCGTAGTGGTCGAAGCAGTCGGAGTGGTGGAAGCGCCGGTCGGGATCTCGTTCGCTGATGCCATCTGTGCGCCGGCAGCTACGTTCGGTGGAGAGAGGAGTCGGTGCAGTGACGTCCTTGGCGGCGGCGTATGCGTCGGGGTGGCGTTGCCGGCGTCAGTGGTGCTTCCCGTCGCTGGCAGCGCCCCTTCTCAAGATCGGGTTAGGGTTAGGATGTCGGTGGGGTGTCTGGCGGCGCGGTGAAACTCGTACCACGAGCCCCGGCTCCCACCTTTCCTTTATAGCGCTGTGCGACGGGGGCCCACCAACCATGTAGGGTTGGGGCCCCCGATCAGGGCGAGAGAACAAGGCCCAAAGATCATTGGGCCTAATGGCGTGGGAGATCAATCCAACAAGAGCATCTTGAGGATCAGCATTCAGCATACGCATGAACACTTCATTCTGCTTAAGGTTAAAGAAACATTTTGCATTAGATTAAATAAACATGGGAATGGTACTTGCATTAACTAATATAAAAACTAAGGGAAAAAATTGAAAACCTACAACTCCACGTACGGTTTGTTGTCAAGGTTGATGAAAACCAAATAGCCATTTATCTTAAAACCCATCTTTCCCTTTCATTCAGATTGTACTCCCTCCATCCCAAATTCTAGGACGTTTTAGTTTTTCTATATACTTAACATTTGTTATGCATTTAGATATGCACTATATCTAAATACGTAGCAATGTATCTAAAAATGCCCAAAATGTAGTTAACTGCGCATTGGCGAGTACTAATAATTGATGCAAATGACTAGCTGCTAATCTGAGAAAAGTATGGCAGCGCAGAAGATTGCATGCATACTGATTTTCAGATTGCTGAGAAAACATACGCACCCAGTTTAAAGTCTTGGCATGGTCGGTGGCTTGAGATAATTTCCAGATTGCTGGGTCACCACTGTTGTTATGCACTGTGACGTCTATGTCTTTATGAAGCAATAGAGCAGCGACCATACTGGGATTGCACTTTTGGACTGCGAGATGGAGAGCAGTACTCCCGTCCAGATTTCGCGCGCGCGTGTTAATGAGTTTGTGAAGCTGCGGCGAGTCCAGGACAAAAGTCCTGATGCTGTTGAACTACAGCTTCGTGCAGACATGTCCAGCCATTCGGTTTGCAGTAGGGAGCATCTGGACAGTGTTTAAGAAGCTCCCGAGCAACACCAACATGGCCACGAAATGCAGCACAGACAAGAAGAGGGTTACCTGCTGTGCAGACGAGGTACCCTAAAGACCGATCGTGTTCCAACAATACGCTTACCACGTCAATCTTGCCCCAAAGTATAGCCAGCATCATTGGAGTGCAAACACTCTTGTCTTCTTCTCTGGCCAACCCAGGACGTGCCTCCACAATCTTTTCAACAACGGCTGCAAATCAAGGCAGTAAGGACGTACGGTTAGTTACATGAGTTTTATTGGTAAAAAAAGAAAAAAAGAAAAACGTTGCTCTCTTGTGTGTAGTTTTTAGTTTGCCAGATATATACTAGATCTATCGGCAGGTCACACCTGAATTTCCGTTTTTCACTGCAGCATGCAGAGCATTGCACCCGTAGGCTCCCCCATGAGCAGAATCTGGAATCTGCAAGAGTTTGTCGACGACGTCCTCACAGTTTCGCATCACTGCGATGAACATGGGTGACTCGCTGTACTGGTTCACAGCATGCGACAGGGCGGGCTCTGCTTCTATCAGCTCCAGCGCCAGCTCCCTGTGCCCGCAGCGTATGGCGTGGTGCAGCGCGTTGTGTCCTTGCTTGTCTTGCTTCAGGATCGTCTAGCTCAGCTGATGATCACGGCAGCACCTGAGCAAAGCAGAAGCTACAGAGACACGGCCGCTGGCCACGGCGGCGAGCAGAGGGGTCTCGTCATCCGAGTTGACGGCGGCGAGGAGTGACGGCTTCAGAGCCTCGGCCTCCTTGCAGAACACCTCGTGGCCATGGATGGCAGCGATGTGGAGGCATGTGTTCCCCTGAGGAGTGGATCCAACGAGCACGCCCGGAACATTCAGATACAGGTGCCTCATTTCTGCGACATGACCACATACTGCTGCTTCCAGGAGTCGGTCCGGCATCACCTGAGGACGAACAGCTCGATCAGCTGATATGATACAAACAGAGACAGATATATACGGATAAACCATACGTACCGATGTGAAAGGCTCTGCGTTGATACTTGAATTAAGGTGGAACCGTAAAAGAGCGACCATGTTAGTGTCATTGATTCTGGCTGCGAGTTGCAGAGCAGTTTCTCCATTGTTATCGGGCAAGTTAACAAGATGCTCAAGTTGGGGAGACCTCACTACAAACCTCACAAAATCTGCCTGACCAAATGATACAGCTACGTGAAGACATGTCGAACCCGTTGCGTCGCAGTAGGGAGGATCAGGACAGTGTCTAAGAAGCTCTCGAGCAACACCAACATTGCCCTGAGATGCTGCGATACAAAGAAGAGGAGCAGCATCTGTGGTTGTGGAGATGAAATAACCCAAAGACTGATCCTGTTCCAACAGGACTGTAAGCACGTCAATCTTGTTCTCAATTGCGGCCAGGTGCATTGGTGTACGCTTATCTTCATTTTCTTGTCTGACTAAAGCCCCCTTTGGCACGGCTCATCCAAAACGGCTTCACCGGTGAAGCCAAAGCCGGTGAAGCCAGAAAAACTGGCTTTTCTCGGCTTCTAGTTCATTTTAATCTCGGCTTACAAAAACGGCTTCACGCTATAGTGCCTCGATTTACACAAAATAATGAAGCCGAAGCCGGCATAAGCCGTGCCAAAGAGGCCCTAACCCTGGACGTGCCACCATAATCCTTTTGGCCATGGCTGAAAAAGAAATCAAGGCAAGAAACAGGTGACCAAGCTGAGGTAGTGTTGGAGATGGACCCTGTTACCTTGCAAGAGGTAAGACCTAAAAGAAATCATAGCCCTTGATTTTTGAAAATAAATAAAACAACTGAAATTTAAGAAATGAATAAAATAATCGGTACAATGTGTCTTAGTATAAAGAACCACAAATTTGTAACGGTACCCTGCAAATTCAACCGTTTGCGGTGTAAACTGGCCAATTCCATGTTTCTTTAGTGTCCTACCGCAAAATTTGTCTTTCCTTATATATCCTATTACCTTCTATCTAGGAGGTAATATGTGATAATTGCTATTCAGATAGACGGTCCACAATTATTTGTGTGTATCATAGCAAAGTCCATGCACTAGAGATATATCAAGTTCCTGTGAAGAAAGTAATAAATTTCACATCCTGTATTGTATACGATTGCGATGCATAGGGTCTCACCTGCATTACCACTTGTCACGGTAGCATGCAGAACATTGCACCCATGGGCTCCCCCATGAGCCGCATCAGGAATCTCCAACAGCTTCTCCAAGACATCACCATAGCCTCTCATCACCGTGGTGTACATGGGTGACTCACAACATTTGTTCACAGCTTTCGACAGGGCAGGCTCTGCTTCAATCAGCTCGAGCGCCAGCGCCCTGTACCCTCTGCGGATGGCATGGTGCAGCGCGTTGCACCCGCGCTTGTCTTGCTTCAGGATCGTCTCGCCGCTCAGCTGCCGATCACGGCAGCACCTGAGGAGGACGGAAGCTAAAGTGTCACGGCCCCTCGTCACGGCGGTGAGCAGCGGCGTCTCCCCGTCCTTGTTGATGGCGGCGAGCAGAGAAACAGCTGATTGGTTCAACGCTAGGCCTAGGAGGTCCTTGCAGAACCCCTCGTGGCCATGGATGGAGGCGATGTGGAGGCAGGTGTTCCCCTGTGGCGTCGTTCCAAGCAGGACGCCCGGGTCATCAATGGCGAGCTGCTTGATGATTTCTGTGGCATCACCAGATACGGCCGCTTCGAGGAGCCGCCTATCCATCCCAGCCTTCTGGTGCTCCAATGAAAGAGTGACTGAAAGAGCGTGCGTGGTAAGATGCAGCTATGAATCACCCACGTACAGTACAGAGGCCGACCACAGATTGTACAGAAAAGAACAAGAACAAGAAATAGGAAAGGCATGGACTCCGAAGAAAGAGTGTACATAACCCACGTATATGTTAGTATGATGCCGTAGTCAGGGTCAGCTGACGACCGAGCAACTTTGGTGAGAGTTGATCATCATCAGTTTACCCATCAGGGTTTGAGGACATGCTATGGAAACTTTTCTAGTTGGAGGAGGGTTGGGACTTGAGACTGCCCATAGAGTCTTAAAATTGTAACCACGTACACACTCTATAATAAGTCAAGTTTTCAAGTGTCTTCCAATGATTTTTCTTTTTGGCAATGCCATTGGCACGACAATTCGATGCACTCAAGACAATAGCAATGCATACACTATTAATTACTGATGATATATATTTGTACGGTAAATACGTTAAAACAATTACTCAATTTGGGAAAAGAAAAGTTGCTCCATATATATAACTGTGAACGTTTCCTCATTAATTTTCGTAATGCATATACATACTCGATCATAATCAATGGAGTATTAGCCATGAAGTATCAATATTGGTATAAGAAGCAAGTAAATTAAAGAGGATACCTGGCTGCAGAATATGGCCGGCCGCTATAGTACGTATATGGACGGCAAGAGATGATCCAGTAACCTTACGCACTCAGTTTTCTTTTCCTCAATATAATACAGCTGGTGCAGAGCCAAGGGCCAATGGGTTAGTACGGGCTAGTTTCCTCATCAGCTACACAAGAGGCTAGGCAAGGGAACTTGTTACTTGCTTGTCCAGTTGTCCCCTCTCAGCAGCCTTATCAATATAAAGAAAAGGAAAAGAAAAAGAGAAAAAGAAAAAAAAAGATCTGAAGCAAAGAATCGATTGTGCTAATAATAGTTCTCACTTACAGATACATGTTTGTTATATATATATATATATATATATATATATATATATATATATATATATATATATATATATATATATATATATATATATATATATATATATATATATATATATATATATATATATATATATATATATATATATATATGCCAAAAAGACAGTCCTAGAGCATTTTGTACAAAACTAGCTAGTGCAAGAAATAGATACAAAAAAATTAAAAAAAAACATTCAATAGAAATTTGACAGGGTCTTCACCTCCATCGCATCCATTCATGTGTGGTGTGGTGATTTCAGAGAAGGCCGACGCATGTCTATTTGAATAATTGACATTGGACTGATTTATTGATCGTGGATTATTATTTGAATAATTGACACGAGTGACCGTAGCGACGTACTCCATCCGTCGCAAAATAAATAAATTTGTGAGGTTTTATTTTTTTCTTCTCAAAAACATAAGATGTCTTCGGGAAACAGAATGAGATGAGATATTTTTTTTTAAAAAAAAAGCGAAAGTGAGTTCTAGGTGGGGACTGTAGACGAAGGAAAAGACAACTGGGTGACCAACCGAGAGCTTTTTCCAACTTGCTTGTGCTTGGACATGAGGCCTAGTAGCTAGATTTGTAAGCTGCGGCCCTGTTCGGGTTGCTTAAACTTGGCTGAATTGACTGAAAAATATTGTTTTTGGCTGAATTATTGTGAGAGAAAAATACTGTTTCGACTGAAAAAAAAAACTAAATAGTACGAATTATAAGGTAAGCCGAACGTGGCCACAAAGGACGCAATTCAGCCAACATCTGAAGCGGCTCAACATGGTCGGTCTCAACTCAGTCCAGAGAGAGGGGCATGATATGTGCCGAGTGTTCGGCGCCTAGACAGTTGCCGATGATTCGAACGCATTTTATCGATCGTGGGCTGAAAGAATTTAATGTTGGACCGTGTATTTGACTGTTTCTTATTTATGAAACGTGTTTTTCTTTTCAGGCTGATTTTCAATTATTTACGAAGCGGTTAATCATTGTCGATAGCAAAACACAGTTAATAGTCCTCCTAAAATTAAAGTAATTAGGTGAATACCCCACGCGTTGCTGTCGGAATTTAAGAAATGATATCTTGTGAATGCCAAATAAATTAATCATGCAAATATTAAGCTTGGGTAGGACTGGTAAAAGATGTTATTGTTTGTACAATAGCAGTAATACTATATAGTTGGGAATTTTTATTATTCAATCAGTTGGCCTACTGACATTGTCAAAATTAACTTGTGAATATGAAATTGCGTACATGCTTACTTGTCATATGTCCATCATGGTTCGAGAAAGTGCTCATGGTGGGAAGGATCAAACGAAACCTCAATAGCAGCTCTGAATTGCCTTATGAGATCTTTTGGTTACATAATATAATATGACTATGCTCCAAGATTTAGACCGGAAGTTAAGATCCTGCATCATAGAAATATTTGGAGAAATGATGTCAACTGAAATTGCTGATTATGAATGTTTGGATATTGTCAGATTCATCTCAATCCACTTGTGTTGAGTTGGATTGAGATGGAATTTAGTTCAAGTTTCACTTAAATCCACCCCAACACATGTGGATTCATACGAATCCGACTACATCCAACAACGCCTAATACGGCTAAGACATTTCCCAGTTAAGTTTTTTTTTTCTTAGCCATTGATTACTGCCTTTGAAAAATTAACGATGTTTTCATTGTTTTTTTTGGATTGCCTGAGTAGAGTATGGAGCTCCTCGCATTGCACAGGCGAGGGTAAGGCTTGCCACTGACACTCTTCCCCAGACTCCGCACAGAGCGGGAGCTCTCTGCACTGGGTACGCCTGAGTAGAGTATGGAGCTCTAGGAAAGGCATCGCGTAAGAGCGACGTGTTCAGCTACGTAATCATGCTCCTTGAAGTCTTTCATCCTGTTCGCTTGGCTTATAAGTCGTACTTTTTCAGTCAACGAACATTATTTTTCTCTTACAACAAATCAGCTAACAGTACTTTCAATCATGACTTATCAACCAAACGAACAGGAAGACCCACAGGTCCTATGTTTGTCGGAGAACTCGACATTAGGCAGTGGGTTCGTCAGGTATTTCCAACTGATCTTGCCTCTATTCTGCGAATATTTGTGCACGTGGTGGCCTCAACGACTCTCTTTTGCCAATATTTGAGCTGGGTTGGCGACCAAAGGATGTCCATGAGCGATGCGGTAGTGACACTGAACAAGATAAAAAAAGAAGAAGGACCGCACTAAATTGACATCAGCACTGCAGATGGGCCAGTCTCCGTGGTTCTCCACGCCGGAGAGCCCGCAACCACCGCCTCGACGACCTCCTCCTCTCCTTAGGGTCGGCCAGGTGCACACAAATGGGCCAAAAAGGAAGAAGTGCTCAAATGAGCCCAGTGAACTACTGCTACTTCTATTACGTATCCCTGATTTCCGATTTCGCTACAAGGGAAACGTAAATCTGTATTCTAAACCTAGCGAGGAAACGCCTCCGCAAAACCCCAACAAGTCCCCAACCCTCTGTCACCGTCATCCTCCACTGCAGCAGCAGCAGCCATGGCCATGGCGTCCGCGCTCCGGCTGTCCCTCCTCGCGCCGCGCGCCGTCGCCGTCTCCGCCTCCGCGGGGAAAGCCTCGCGTCATCTCCTCTCCCGCCGCCTCGCGGTGCGCCTTCCTCCTCACCCCCCGCGACCCGCCGCCCTCTCCGCCCCATCCGCCGTGCGGCCGCGCGAGGCTGGGCGCGTCCAGCCGCTCCGCGCCGCCTCCTTCTGCAGCGGTCCCGCTCCGACCGCAGGACCCACCGGAGGAGGCGCCAAGGACTGGCGCGTCTTCCTGGCATGGTAATTCGATTCCGCGCTCGGTGCTTCTGCTCTGCCGTGGCCCGTGGGTGCTGCTCCCTGACACGCAATTCAGAATCCAAGTGTTCAAATATTCAAATTGCGCTTGTGCATCGTGACAGGTACCTGGTGGCTCTGGATAAGAACCCGATTGCGACTAAGGCGGTCACGTCTGCTGTCCTAACTCTGGCCGGGGACCTCATCTGCCAGGTAATACTTGCAGCGTTTGGCTCCAGTCTTTATGCAATGTAGCAAGCATTTGGCTTCAGTCTTTGTGCAATGCAGCATGGATTTCGTAGTCAGTAATGACTTTCAGGCAGTCTAGTACTACTATGTCACTGTTTGGTTTGTAGACCATGAAACTATTGCCAAAGTGTATGGTTCATGCGATTGAAGGACTGGAATCCAATCGCTTTGTTCAACCTAATTAGCTCAGATTTATTTTCCAGCGCAGATCAGTTGTGTCAATCCTAAATAAATCTGAGTTGGCACTGAAATTGATTTGTTCCCAGGCATGACATGCCCTGAAGTATGTGAAGTTATTTTTTTGTAACAATAGTACTACATAGTTATAGTTGGCCTTTGATGAATTCTCAGACAAGCAAAGTATTATAGACTCCTAATCTACTATGTAATAACAATGATGTTGTTACCAATTAGTGAATTTTATGTATGCTGCCATGCCAAAAATGGAAGATAAACACACAAACAAGCACGCAAAGGAAAAATAACCTAAGAAGTTCAATCCATTGACTGCATAGGGGATTGCAATAGTGATTTGAAAACGTGCTTAATATTTTTTTTCCGTATGTTGATAACTGGCCTTGCTGGCTCATTGAAGTGTTTTGGTCCTATATTTATGGCTATTGCTGCTGCTTGCTACTTAAACACCTGCATGTGTAGTCCTAATTTTAATTTTCTTTCTGTTCCAGCTTGTTATTGATCGAGTTCCAGAGCTTGATTTGAGGAGAACATTTGTATTCACATTTTTGGGCCTTGCCCTTGTGGCGCCAACTTTACATGTCTGGTAATCTCTTCTGTGCTTCAAAAGTAATTATCAGTACCATGTAGTGTAGCTAGCTTTTTTCTGCCACTGCTGTTTGTTTGATAATTAGTGTCCATATGCAGGTACTTGTATTTGAGTAAATTAGTGACAATCAGTGGAGCATCAGGTGCC